TGGACCATGGGTGGGATACAGGCAGGTGAATAAGGCAGTCTACTTCTGTAAAGAGGACATGGCAGAGGACGTGGCTCTGGGTGCCAGCTCTAGGGCTTTGTCCGGTGGGCAGGTTGGTAGCTGTGGAGGGTTGGGCTGCAGGGTCTGATCTGCTTCTGCTGCTCAGGTGGGTGGAACAGCAGGCAGGGCTGGGCATGCTCCACTCCCCTACTCCCCTGCTCTCTTCCTCTCATTTCACTCCTACCCTTACCCTCTCAGCCTCTGCTGCACTGCCTGTTCCTCTGACCTCTGCCAGCAGCTCCAGAAGCAGCAGCAGTGGCAAAATGAATGACAGACGACCGGAAGTGGACTCATACGGTTTTGCACAATGTCCAAATCGTATAACACCCTATCTCACAGAATATGCCGTGAACGTTAAGTGATGCATACCTGTATTAAAAATCACTGAGTGTACATTTTTAAATGGTGGGTATTATGGTATGTGAATTATATCTCAACTGAAAAAAAGGTAGATCCCACAGCTCCATGTGTTTGGCAAGAGGAAGAGATTTCAAGGCTACAGCCGCCTCCCCCACTCTTCCAAGTTCTTCCAAGTGCAAATAACTCTACGGTTGACAGCGGGAAGGCCTGACTTTTCCATTAAGTAATCCAGCCCCATCCAGCTTCCCCTGGATCCAGACTGGTTGAGTAGCCCAGAGCAGTATGTAGAATTTAGCTAAAACGAGTGCATCAGATGTGGTATTTTTGTCCCTTTAAACTGTTGTTGTTAGCTGCTGTCAAGTCAGCCCTCGATTCATTGTGACCCAGTGTACAATGACACGGGACCGTTGTGGTCCACAGTGTTTTCTTTGGCTGATTTTCAGAAGTAGATTGCCTGGCCTTTGTTCTTTGTCACTTTTGAGATAGAAAGGAGCAGAGGAGGCACAGAAGCTAGCAAGCATGAATGGGGGAAAGAGAGATGCCACGTGGAGATTTCTCAGGAACACCAAGAAGAACACTAGGGCTGAGACAAGGACCTGCCCCCAGAGCAGACAGACAGGGCCTTCCCCCCAGAGCCAATGCCCTGAATTCAGACTTCTACCCTCCTGAACTACGAGAAAATCAATTTCTGTTTGTTAAAGCCACCCTCTTGTGATATTTCTGTTACTGCAGAACTAGGAAGCTAAGACCCTCATCCATCTCTGTCTCTCACATGGATCCCAGAGAGTTCCTTCCACTTCCTCCCCCCATGTCCTCTTCGCTGTGCATCTCCTAGGCCTCCCTCTCTTCTCATCTTCTCTTACCACCACCCTCAGAAGTCACGTCATCACCTCCCCTGGGCCTCTACCAATTTTGTGTCTAGTCATGACCATGCTCCATCAGAGTTTAAACATGTAACTCTTCTCAGGGGTGACTTTATTTCACACATGTTTGCCTGGACTAGTTGCTTGATTAGCGGTTTGGTTAAAATTCAGGTACTGTGAACGTCTTTTTTTAATAAAATGTCAAAGCCCTGCTACTATTCTCTGCTGGCTCCCCGGTGGGGCTCGATCGCTTGTTGTCATCAGAGATTTTCTTTCCCACACATAATAAGAGCCTATTACCAGTCTTTGCTTTCTAGTTTCACTCTTTCCATCTGTCCTTGGTTGCTACTGACTTACGCAACGATACCCCCCCTGGGTACTCATCAGTGGATATGGTTGTTGGGTTGGCATGGCTCAAGCCTCAAGCTGGAAGAGCCTTTTAAAGTTTTATAAATCAATCACCATGGCCGCTTTATTGCTTGTAAGGTGATTACCCCACTCGGCTCTGGGAGTGTTTCAATCTGATTAAACTGTAGTTTCATCAGGGTCTCAGTTGAGTGCTCCTGATAGAAAAATACATATGGACGGTGAAAGCAGTCCACACTGAAGTGTGGTTACAACAACGCTTCAACTCTTCAGGCATCGTTGGTCCCAGCACTTTTGGGGTCCTCCCTTTGCCATTCCCATTTCCATGCCCTTTGTGCTTATTCCAGCCTCTTGTCTTTGTAGCAGTTTGGTATTTTTCTAACTGCAGGCTTGCAGGTGCTGAGCCTGGGCCCTGCTGCCAAGCAAGTGCTGCATCTCAGATTAGCTCCTCTGTGATTGGTAAATGGGGCTCAGATGCCAGTATTGCTTGTGGGGTTCATTTGCCATGGGGTTCATTTGCCATTGGTTTCTAGTCCAGGGAACAGGAAGAGTGGGAGTAGAATCGTCTCATGCAGCAGAGAAAAACCCCTTAACTCGGCCATGCCTGGCAGCAGGAGCACCCGTCTTTAATTACTTATTTATCTTTTTCCTCACTGCGTTTTCCATTGCTCCTTCTTTCCTCTCCCTTCCTGCCTTCTGGCTTTTTATCCCCGGGCAGATGCTGCCATTTTGACCTTGTATGGCTGATTGTTCTATAGTGCATGGCTCCCTGGTGTTATCATTCACACTAGGGTCTTATCTATCATGTGGCTGAAAGTGGAACCATGGGGAGTCGCCCCTCTTTTAAAATTTTTACTGTGGTGTGTGCGTATATATATATGGGAGCTCTTGTGGTGTAGTGCCTAAGGCATTTGACTGCCGACCAGAAGGCTGGTGGTTCAAACCCACCAGCCATTCCTCAGAAGGAAGGTTGGGCAACCTACTTCCCTAGAGATACCACCTCCGAAACCCAAGGAGGGGTCGCTATGAGTCAGATCCGACTCGATGGCAGTACATTTGCATTTATGTGTGTGTGTGTGTGTGTGTATTATAATAAAACATTTGCCATTATAAATGTACAATTTAGAGACGTTCATTGAATGTGCCATGTTGTATAACCATCACTACTATCTATTTCCAAAACTTTTCTATCACTCCAGGCAGAAACCAGTGCTCTTAAGTAATAACTGCTCTGCCCCTCAGCCCCTGGTAAGCACTGATCAACTTCGGTGTCTGCGCATTTGGCAGTTCTAGATATTTCCTATAAATGGGACCGTAGAGTAGTTGTCCTTTTGTGTCTGACTTATTTCACTCAGTGTTATGTTTTCAAGGTTCAGCCACTGGTAGCGTCTATCAGGGCTTCATTTCTCTTGATGGCTGAGTAAAATTCCATCGTATGTATGTACTACATTTTGTTGACCCATTCATCTATTGATGGACAGGTGGCTTGTTGCTGCCTTTCAGCAGTTCCACGGGAAAAGATGAGGCAGTCTACTTCTGTAAAGATTTCAGCTTTAGAAACGCCGTGGGGGCAGTTCTACTCTGTCCTATAGAGTCCTGAGTCAGAATCGACTTGATGGCATTGAGTGTGTGTATTTTGGCTTGGGCCATTGTGAATAGTGCTGCAGTGAACATCGGTGAACAAGTGTCTGCCCATGTACCTGCTTTCAAGTCCTTTTCAGCGTATGTGTAGGAGTGGAATTTCTGGGGGACATGGTAATTCTATACTGAACTTTTTGAAGACCTGCAAAACTGTTTTCCAAAGTGGCTTTTCCATTTCACAGTCCCACCAGCAGTGCACGAGGGTTCCAATGTCTCCATATTCTCACTGACACTTACTGTTTTTCATAATAGCCATCTGAGTAGGGGTGAAGTGCTATCTCCCTGTGGTTTTGATTGGCATTTGCTTACTGACTAATGATGTTGAGCATCTTTTCATGTGCTTTTTGGCTGTTTGTGTACCTTCTTTGGAGAACTGTCTATTCAAGGCCTTTGCCTATTTTGAAATGATCTGTCCTTTTGTCCTCGAGTTGTAGTTTTTTTATATATTCTGGATATTAAGTTAGACCATTGTCAGATACATGATTTCCAAGTATTCCTCCCATTCTGTAGGGTACCTCTTCACTTTCTTGATAAAGTCCTTTGATGTATAAATGTTTTGAGTTTTGATGAAGTCCAATTTATTTGATTTTTTTTTAATTTGGGTGAAAGTTTACAGAGTAAATTCATTTTCCATACAGCAGCTCATGCATTGGTTTTCTTTTGTAGCTTGTGCTTTTCATGTCATGTCTAAGGATGCATTTTTAAAAACAGGGTCCTAAAGCATTGCCCCTATGTTTTCTTCTAAAAGTTTTATGGTTTTGGTTCTTACATTTAGGTCAATGATCTCTTTTGAGTTAATTTTCATATATGATGTGAAGTATGGGTCCAACCTCATTCTTTTACATGTGGAGATCCAGTTGTTCTAGCACCATTTATTGAAAAGACTATTCTTTCTCCCAGAAGGAAAGTTGGGCAATCTACTTCCGTAGTGATATCGCCTCGGAAACCCAAGGAGAGGTCACTATGAGTCGGGTTTGAGTCGAGGGCAAATAACAACAACAACATTCTTTCTCCATTGGATGGACTTAGCCCCCTTGTTGAAAATCAGTTAGATTTAAAAAATGTAAAAAATTGTTTTGTTGTGGCTAGAAACATATTTAACCAAACATTTGTCGATTCAAAAGTTTTTAGATGTATAATTCAGCGACATTCATTGCAACCATCACCACGATCCGCTCCCAAATTATTTTACCCTCTTCGGGCATATGGCCTTTTAGCTGTATTTAAGAACAATTGACAATAAGTGCCTGCACCCAAGGCAGTGTGCCTGTCTCCCTTGCCCATCTCCATAGTGGCCTCACTGGTATACAGGACCACTTCCATCTGCAGATTGCCTTGGCTGCCACCCACTAATCCAAGTCTGGCCGGCATTTTCTCTCTTCTTGGGTGTACATTTTTAATAGCTGTGATGACAGCCACATGGGCTACCTCCTGAATGGTCCACTTATCTCCTGGGAGCCAATGATTGCTTTGGTTGCACAGTCGCACAGGCTTCCAGTGGCACGGCCAACCTCATTTACCCCTCCAGTCCTGGTTCTCACTCCTTGCTTTGGCAGAATGTGAGACTTTTCAGAAATGTCTATATCCCATCACAGCAGAGGCCTATGCTGACAAATTTTCTTTTACCAGAAAATAGAGCACATGGCTCATATTCTGCCATGTCTGCATGGATGTCCTTCTTCCATAGACAACCTCTGGTTTTTCTTCCAGATGTGACTAGTATGGTCAGTGCTGCAGCGATGAGTGGCTCTGGGAACCTGATGGATTTTCTCGATGAGCCGTTCCCTGATGTGGGGACGTACGAGGACTTCCACACCATTGACTGGTTACGGGAGAAGTCACGGGACACTGACCGACACAGAAAGGTATGTGGTGTTCATCAAGGACATGTTGAAAGGGATCCCTTCAAATGGTTGTACCCAGTTTTCATTCAATAGCATGCTTTTATTCAAAAGCTGCTTAGGGAGGTGTAGGTTTCTTCTTCTTCTTTTTTTAAATTGTGATTTGGGTGAAGTTTACAGAGCAAATTCACTATCCATATAGTAGTTCACATACACTTTGTCTCATGACATTGACTACAATTTCCCACAATGCAACAGCTCCCCTCTCACTTCCTCCCGACAGTCACCTCTTCCCAGTGTCCATCCCTCCATGCACCCCTGCCCCCCAAGCTGTCTCCCTGTGCATAAACAGCCCTTCTTTCTCCCATGATTGTTCTCTCCAGGGAGTGTATCTACCTAGTGTAAATGT